ATAGCCTTTCTGACAGCTCGAACCAATGTAGCCATATGACCAACGATCTTCTTTGTCCTGTCGTAATCCATGACTCTAGCATCGAACCCTTCAATGTCTCCCTGCTCGCAAGACTCCAACAAAGAGTGCAAGAACCTGCCTTCCATGGTTGTGGGAAAGGATGGGTCTTGTTGTGCGTAGAAACCCATGGCATTGGAGCATGCGACGTAGTCCTGCGAAGATCATGTCGTCAGTCTAGCGGGCGAAGGATGTTTGATGACAATACTGCTCACAGGAATGGCCAGATAGCAGCAGCCTGCACTGAGATAGTAGTCTTTGACGTTGTAGCGCGTCAAGTTGGACTCCAACGACATGGCTGCCACCTGCTCCCATCGCTCCAGCGCCTTTTTAAAGTCACCGATCTCCACTGCCAACGTTGCGCTTTCCCTGTAGCAGCCAGACGCGGTGCTATGGACGGAAATCGCGAGGCGAAAGCAGAGCGTGAGCTCCATGCACCCCTGCTCGACTGCATGGCGTATTCCCCTCTATTTGGACTCACGCTCCTGCGCCCTCTTGCGAGTACCACTCAGCCGCTTTCTCGTATGACTCAATGGCTCGTTGTGGGTCCCTTGCATCGCCTTTGTACAGCTCGGCCAGCTGCTTCTCCCTATCGGCAGCTTGTCTGAAGCGACCCGAGCCCAGCAGAATCTCTCTCGATGCGGACAAAGCCGAGACCGCCTCTGAGGTTGAGTGGCCAGAGAGGGAGAGGTAGCAACAGGTGTCAGATCAAGATAGCTCGCTAGCAGAGCGGAGACGAATGGCCAACGTCTTGCACTTACTCTCGGGGCTTCCCATCTTGTAGCACTTGCTAGCTTCGAAGAACGTGTTCGCAGCGAAATCCTTATCCTGAGATTTCTCCTCCACCTGACCAGCTCTCATGAAGGCATCTCCCGCTTCGTTGAATCGGTTAGCGATCCTGAACTTGTTGGCTGCAGCTTTGAACATCTCTACAGCTTCCTCTTGAGCTGTAGCTTTGCTGCTGAACCATCCTCCTGAGCTGTTGGCTCGCTTCTCGGCAGCGGCCAACAGCTGCTCGGCGCTCGAGTTGGACATCGTGGTGAATGCAGTGCGTGTCCAGCTAATGACACCTTCAATTGGATGCTAGGCGTCTCCAGTGGATAGGCAGGGAGTCAGGTGTGCGTGCTCAAAGGTGTCGGTACTCGCGATGAGTCTGATGCGGCATGGATTGAGTAGGGCTTGTGCGACTTTACGATGCGGCGTGGAGAAGTAAGTGGATTGGCAGCGATCAATGCACCATTCGTGAATGTCAAGATCGATGCACACGCACTCGTGACTGTAAGCTATACATGAGTACATAGGAGGCGGTGCACGACACCGCTCACGACGCGCTCAGCATCGACGAGCAGCAGCATGCACCACGTGGAGCGCTCATTCTCGCCGCGCCTTGACGCACTCATCATTGAATAATCATGCCTTTAGTCCAAAGCAGAGTCGAGTCTGTCAGTGCTCGAGCAGGAGCTGCGAGGCACGAGGCTAGCTTGTGCTGAGAAGGCATTTGATTGCCCTCAGACTCAAGTTGTTATGTCCAGTATATATGATGATGTGGCTCTCGAAGCCTTGACGCCTTGACGCCACTGCTATGGCGGATGGAGCGGCCGTGATGCGCGCGCCTCGATTCACATTCGTGATTGGCGTGGCGACCGACCGAGGGAGGCATGAGGCATCGAAGGGCTTGCGTCGGATGCAGCCACTCGTGAACAAGACTCGTACGTCTGCTGCTGGACAGTTGAGTCACTGCACGCTGCTCGAGTTGGCTGCCTTTGTGGTTCGCGTGCGCTGACGCTGACCTTGCTGAAAGCTGCAGGAACATTCGCGCACACGCATGCTGTGGAGCATCTCAGCACGCTTCACGTCCCGGGGAGCAAGGCGCACGCCTGGATCCAAAGCTGAGCTCCGATCGTCAAGTCTGGAGTCACGAGTTTGAGTGTGAGTCTCATCGCTCTCCAACAGCTAAGTAGTCACGAGTAAAATAGCGTCACGAGTCCTAGTCCGCCGACCACGGACACATATTGTCATCCACCTCGAACTTTATTCACGACTTTCACCACATGGCACTCGCCTGCTCACGCTTCGCGCGTTTCTACTTACCCTTCAGGACAATGTCGACCACTG